TATGGGAAGTTCTTCAAAATATTTTTGGCAGCGGTGAAGTACTCCCACATGCTGTAATAGCCTTTTCCCTTTGAGGCAAAACTCAGAAGTTCGGCATTTCAGAAATGTTGGCGTTCAAAGAAAATCTTTGCAGCCAATAGTATGTTTCTTAAAAAAATAGAAACACATCTACGAAAATAAAGAAGACTCTGGAACAACCCAACATTTATCTTGTCCGGGTATAGATGGTCATCCCTATAACAAGATTCTATCCTGATAATTGTGCAGATTATATGAAACCTGTAGATTTATCGTTTGGCGTCATGGTTTAAATGGCCTGTATAGACATCAAAAAGACGTCTAAAAAGTCAAGATCTTTATTACTTTGTTTATTTAACAAATAATTTTTGAGCATCAACTTTGTGCCAAGTACTTGGGATATTATGTCACTGAAGAAGTAATCAGGTCTCTGTTCTCATGAAGCTGAATTGGCTTGGGGTGGGGAATGCAGGGGTGCCGGTGGGAGGGGGAGAAAGACAAATAAGGCTAGAAGCAGGAGCCCATGAGGAGAAAGGGTTGGCTTCACTGGCTAAGGGGATCCTGGATTTATTTTGAAGGTAAACCCAGAGGGCCTTGATGATGGATTAAACATAGAGTCGATAAAAAGAGGAGTCAAAGACGAGCCTGAGGTATTTGACCTGAGCAACTAGAGAGATCAAGTTGCCATCAACTGAACTAGGGAACACTGGCTAGAACCATTTTGCAGAGCAGTATTAAGATCTCAGTTTTAAGTATGTTCAGTTTGAGGTATTAGATGTTTAGTTGGAGGCATTAGGTAGGCTGCTGGATATGAGTTCAGGAAGAAGTCCTGAAGATCTATATTTTTATATATTATTTAGGTGATATATGTGTATATTGTGTGTATGTGACTGTGCACTTGAGAGAAAGAGGGAGAGAGAGACAGCAAGTAAACCAGAGGGAAGGAGAGTTTGGAGTTGCCAGCATATGAATGGAATTTGACGTCTGAAACTGGATGATGTCACCAAGGGAAACCAGCAGGGGGAAAAGAAAAAAAAAAAAAAACAGGAAAACCCTGGGGCACTTTGACACTTAAGAAAGAGGTCTCGGCAATTATCATATGATCCCTCTGATATGCGGAATTTGAGAGGCAGGGTGGGGGGTTGTGGGGGGTAGGGAAGGGAAAAAAAACACGATGGGAGGGAGATAAACCGTAAGAGACTCTTAATCTCACAAAACAAAGTGAGGGTTGCTGGGGGGTAGGGGGTGGGTAGGATAGGGCGGTTGGGTTATGGACATGGGGAGGGTGTGTGCTATGGTGAGTGCTGTGAAGTGTGTAACCCTGATGATTGACAGACCTGTACCCCTGGGGCAAATAATATATGTTAATAAAAATAATTTTTTAAAAAAGAAAGAAAGAGGTCTCAGAAGTGAGGAACTTGCAAAGCAACTGAAGGAACGAATGCGTTAGGGAGGAGGAAAACCCAGAGAGGGTAGTGCCCCGGAAGGCAGAGGAAGAAACTGAAGGAGGGAGTGATCAGTCTTATCAACTGTGGAATGCAGCCAAGAGGTTAAAATGAGGATGGAGGACTGACTGTTGGAGCGTCCGCAGAGGTCACCGGTGACCTTGACAAGAGAAGTTTGGGCGGAGCAGTGGGGCAAGAGCTTGACTGGACTAGATTGAAGGAAAAAAAAAAAATCAGTGACTCTGGAGTCACTCTGGGAAAAATACTGCTGTAGACTTAGAGGGGAAGGTACCAGGGTTGGTGATGGTAGAAAGTACATTCTGTTTCAGAAAGTTCCTGGGTCAGTGCAAGAATCAGGAACTCAATACCTTCAGGCTTCTGGAAGAATTATTACACCCTCAGGATATGGTCTGCTTCTCGCCTTGTATCTGTTCCATAATGACATGAATAATACACAGTTTCTTTGGAAAAAGACTACTACCTTTCTATAAACTCTGCAGATTCTTTTTTTTTTTTTTTTTTTTTTTTTAAGATTCCATTTATTTACTTACTTGACAGAGATCACAAGTAGGCAGAGAGGCGGGGCAGAGTGTGGGGGGGGCAGGCTCCCTGCTGAGCAGAGAGCCCTATGTGGGGCTCTATCCCAGGACCCTGAGATCATGACCCGAGCCCAAGGCAGAGGCCTAACCCACTGAGCCACCCAGGTGCCCCCAGATCCTTACTTTTAAATTTATGTTTTTATTATGTTCAGTTAGCCACTGTATAGTACCTTAGTTTTTTGGTTTTTTTTTTTTTAAGATTTTATTTATCTATTTGACAGATCACAAGTAGGCAGAGAGGCAGGCAGAGAGAGAGAGAGGTGGAAGCAGGCTCCCTGCCGAGCAGAGAGCCTGAGGTGGGGCTCAATCCCAGGACCTTGAGACCATGACCTGAGCCAAATGCAGAGGCTTAACCCACTGAGCCACCCAGGCGCCCCAGTACCTTACTTAGTTTTTGATGTAGTGTTCAACTGATTCATTAGTTACATATAACACCTAATGCTCATCACAGCACGTGCCCTCCTTAATGCCCATCACCCTGTCACCCTCTCCCCCTCACGCCCCTCCCCTCTGAAACCCTCACTTTGTTTCCCAGGGTCCATAGTCTCTCATGGTTCATCTCTCTCTCTGATACACTCTGCAAATTCTGAACATGGAGTTTGGTCAGTACTTGGAAGAATTTGGTCAGTAGGACAAAGAATGTAGCAGAGAGCTTTTCCTGGAATTTATATAACCAGCAGTGCTCACCACTAGTCTGTGATTCAGCCAATCATGCAATGCTTAGAGATGCAACAAAGCAGACTTTGCCCTGGTTTCTCAAGCGTGTACCCCAATAATCCCTGATGACTCTGCAGATTTTGTTGGACTTCCTGTAAATGATGGCAAATTGACTCTGTCACAGGAATGGTAATGTCTTAAGAGTGAGCTGCCCTGGTGTTTCCTTTCAGTAGGTTTCCCTGCACCTGTCCTCTCTGAACCTGCTCTAGTCACAGCAGTCCCCAGCGAGTGACAGTTAACTAGATTGGCTGTGTGCTCTATTTGAAGACATATTTATCATCCTGGGCTTGAGCTCCATTGTTAGAATCCTGTCCATTGATAAACATAGGTCAATTAAAAAAATTTTTTTAAGATCTGCTCTTCATTTATTTGACAGAGAGAGAACAAGAAGGGAGAGCAGCAGGCAGAGGGAGACGGAGAAGCAGGCTCCCGCGGAGCAAGGAGCCCAATGTGGGGCTTGATCCCAGGACCCTGGGATCATGACCCAGGCCAAAAGCAGCCGCCTAACCAACTGAGCCACACAGGAGCCCCAAATTTTTTATTTTCAATCACATTACCTTATCATTTCTTAGAGGCGCATGTGATAAAATACATATATAAAGTATTATGTGTACTTTATTCTGAACTATTTATGCTGAATAGTCCCTGAAACCATCTCTATTTGGAAGTATTTCTCAATTTGGGTGGCTCAGTTGGTTAAGTGTCTGCCTTCGGCTCACGTCCTCATCCCAGGCTCTTGGGACTAAGTCCCCAGATTGGGCTCCCTAATCAGCTGAGAGCCCAGAGCCTTTGCAGACCAGGGGCCCAGAGCCTCTGCAGCCCCCCTTCCTTGAACTCTGTCTCTCTCTCTGTCAAATAAATAAAATCTTAAAATGGAAGTATTTTTTAATTTGGATGCAACCTAGAATATCATACAGTTGTTTGTGTTTCCTAATACTCACGAAATGATGCACTGGCTAGCTTATGTAGTCTTAAACTGTTTTTCCCTTGTCCCAGAACACACTGTGCTTCTGTCAGTTACCCTGATTTTTTCTGTAGTGATTCATTTGGCATCTGAGGACAAATGTCTCCCTACAGCAGAATGTCAGAATCCTAGGGCATTCTGGTACATCTACCTTGTGGAACTTTCTCACACCTCCTGAAAATCACTGATGTAGAACTTAAATATAGCTGAGGAACAAAAGGCCATTTCCTTCGAAAACCAGTTATTTGACGTGAGATTTATTTCCGGCGGTATGAGGGCATCAGTTGCTGGCACAGAGGATATATCATGAATATCTGACTTCCTTCAGAGGTCCAAGAGTACTACATTTTTAAAAAGACATATCTCCTTTCTTCTTATTTATTTATTCTTTAGTAGGCTCTATGCCCCATGTGGGTCTTGAACTCATGACCCCAAGATCAAGAGTCATGTGCTCAACCAAAGGGAGCCAGCCAGGCACCCCCATATCTCCTTTCTTATTTTGAAAAAGTGTAACATCTGTTATATTGGAGATATTGAAATTATTTGCACGAATATCATGGTAGATGTTTTGTTTGTTTTTTAAAGATTTCATTTGTTTATTAGAGAACGCACATGAGAGAGCATGAGCAAGGGAGGGGGAGAATGAAGAAGGCAGAGGGAGAGGAAGATGCAGACTTCCCTTTGAGCAGGGAGCCGATGCGGGGCTCAATCCCAGGACCCCGGGATCATGACCTGAGCCGAAGGCAAACGCTTAACTGACTGAGCCACCCAGGCACCCGCCATGCTGGATGTTTCTAACCATTGGTCATATTTCTACCTTTTGGAGAAAAACAGAACAAGTTTTTGGGTTTTCTGTTTTTCTTGACAAATCTTCTGAATATTTGAACTTATCTTTATTTAAAAAAAAAAGACTTTATTTATTTATTTGGCAGAGAGAAAGTGTGCACAAGCAGAGAGCAGCAGCCAGAGGGAAAGAGAGAAGCAGCCTCCCTGCTGAGCAGAGAGCCGAACATGGGGCTCAATTCCAAGACCCTGAGATCATGACCTGAGCCAAAACCAAGAGTCGGACGCTTAACCAAATGAGCCACCAAGGCACTCCTACAATACTTTTTTATAACTCTGCTTATACACAGTAGACAATTGATGTGGGCAGGAAAATTTGACTGGATCTATGTTCTTAAGTAGGGGAGAAGGAATGCAGTGCCTGCATACAGGAAGGAACTGACTTTGGATGGGCATATAAAATGGTTCATCTGTCTGCAGCCAGTTAAGCCAAATGTGCTCTTTCCCCATGGGGCCCAAGGTGCAATGGCTGCAAACAGTGCCCTCCTTGGTAGTATGTGCAGCCTGTTGCCTGTATGAGTTGCTTCAGGGGACCTTGGAGACAGTGGACATTCGTGTCTGACCTCATGCTCTCCCACGTCTAGGCCCAAGACAGGAAAGCAGGTGCCTTTGGAAAGCCTCAGGGCACAGTGATCAGGGTCCACATCCGCCAGGTCATCACGTCCATCCCTGTCAACCTGCAGAACATGTGACTGAGCTACCAAGAGGCATGTGATTGAGGCTCTAACCAGGGCAAAGTTCAAATTCCCTGGCCACAGGCAGGAAGAGCCACATCTTCAAGAAGTGGGGTTTTCCTGGGTTTATTGTGAATGGATGTACAGACATGGTGGCTGAAAAGCCCATCCCAGGTGGCCATGGGGTTAAATACACCACTAATGGTGGCCCCTCTGAATAAACAGCATGCCCTGCGCTCATGAGAACCTCGGCATTGCCCCCCGCTTATTCATGCCCATCAATAAATCCTACTTCTGGTCCAAAAATAATAGATAGCTAGATCGCTAGGTAGAAAGAAATAGTTCACCCAGTGGAAGACCAGAAGCCAGGATACAGGCATGCAAATGCCACGAGCTATGGTTGAACGAGTGTGTCCAGGAGATGCCACTTAACGCTGAGACAGCATCAAGAAACACAACTGATCCAGGCTTCATTTTTCCAACTTAATATGAGACTGATGACACAGTACACCAGCCGAAAGGTTTGGATTTACTTCCTGTGTTCTTGGGCGTGTCCCTTAAACGTTTTTGGCAGGATCTTGGTGTGGTTTATGTGCCACCAAATGGTCATTACCTAAAATAGTGCCTGGCAAACAGTAGTTGTTCGATAAACATTCACCGAGTTGGTTTCAGGAACTATCTATCAAATATCCATACCATACACGCCACATCTATCCCACAGGGCTGTTTTGAAGATCCCATAAAAGGAGAGAACGGATGTGAAAATGCTTTGTCATCTGAGGAAAGCTCTTCACATCGGATGTGTTTTGTTTGGGAGAGTTAGGATAAAGTCCACAGAGGGTTTTTTTGGTTTTTTTTGTTTTTGTTTTTTTGACTCCTTAAATGAGAAATATATAAATGTGGAAACAGGGTCATTGTTACTTAGGACTTTTTTTTTTTTTCCTCAGCGGGTTATATCAAAACCTACAGGGTCTGTCAACTGACTTGAAACTCAAGGGCAGACACAACATTAACACAAAATAGGATTTGGCTTGTAACCCACATAACATCACAGAACTGACAAAGTGAAAAAGTAAAAAAACAAAAAAAACCACCACCAACAACAAAACCCAAAACATCCAAGTCAGCTAGCTTTATATGAATGTCATAAATTAAGTCCCAATTTACATTTATTTATTTATATATTTTTATTTAAGTGATTGCTGCACCCTACGTGGGACTCGAACTCACAACCCTGATGGGGTACCTGGGTGGCTCAGTTGGTGAGCGTCTGCCTTAGGCTTGGGTCATGATCCCAGGAGGCTGGGATCGAGCCCTGCATCGGGCTCTCTGCTCAGCGGGGAGCCTGATTTTCCCTCTCTCTCTGCCTGTCGCTCCTCCTGCTTGTGCTCTCTTTCTCTGTGTCAGATAAATACATCTTAAAAAAACAAACAAACAAAAAAACAACCTCATGACCCTGAGATCAAGAGTTACACACTCTTCCCACTGAGCCAGCCAGGCGCCCCTCCAGTTACAGTTATAATACTGAGCACATAACTATTATATTATCTCTCCTTTTTTGCTTTGTTTTCTCGTGGATTATAATATCCAAAGCAAATACTGTATTGGAGATGTGGATTTACTTTGCTAGGTAACAATAAAACTTCAAACATATTGATATTTTTAAAAGACTTTATTTATTTATTTGACAGAGAGAGAGCACAAGCATGGGGAGCAGCAGAGGGAGATGGAGAAGCAGAGCAGGGAGCCTGAAGTGGGTCTTGATCTCAGGACCCCGGGATCATGACCCAAGCTGAAAGCAGATGCCTAAGAACTGAGCCACCCAGGAGCCCCCATATTGATATTTTTCCTGAGAATTTATTTATTTATTTATTTATTTATTTAAGATTTTATTTATTTAGGGGCGCCTGGGTGGCTCAGTCATTAAGCATCTGCCTTTGGCTCAGGTCATGATCCCGGGGTCCTGGGATTGAGCCCCACATCAGGCTCCCTGCTCAGCGGGAAGGCTGCTTCTCCCTCTCCCACTACTCCTGCTTGTGTTCCCTCTCTCACTGTCTCTCTCTCTCTGTCAATAAATAAATAAAATCTTTTTTTTTTAAAGATTTTATTTATTTATCTGACAGAGAGAGATCACAAGCAGTCAGAGAGGCAGGCAGAGAGGAGGAAGCAGGCTCCCCGCTGAGCAGAGAGCCCGATGTGGGGCTCGATCCCAAGACCCTGAGATCATGACCCAAGCCGAAGGCAGCGGCTTAACCCACTGAGCCACCCAGGTGCCCCAATAAAATCTTTTTTTAAGATTTTATTTATTTATGTCTTTGAGAAAGAGAGAGAGCAAGCTCGTGCGTATGGGGCAGGGGTTGGGGGGACAGAGGGAGAGGGAGAGAATCCCGAGCAGACTCACTTTGAGCAGAGTCCGACACAGGGTTCCATCTCACAACCCTAAGATCATGATCGGAGCAGAAATCAAGAGTCAGACTCTTAATCGACTGAGCCACCCAACTGCCCTTCCGCTGAGAATTTAACACACCTCAAGTACACCAGACTGTTTATTTTCTTGATAAATCTATATGATCTTCCCACACATTATAGGACTGATCTGGACAAAGTTTTAGCTGATAAGAATAACTAAGAAAAAAAAAAAAAATCCCACTCAGTGCATTTCCATTTACTTGCAATTCCAGGGACTAGAGTAAGTAATACACTTGACCGTTGAAGTTTGAAAGCAATTTCCCATATGCTAAGGTATTTTTTGTTTTGTTTTGTTTTGTTTTCTCTTGTTAAGTAAACTCTACCCCCCAACCTAGGGGACAAACGCATGATCCTGAGATCAAGAGCCACGTGCTCTAAGCCACCCAGGCATCCCACGTGAAGGTTTTATTCCTAGGAGTTTTAGAAGGTTTTATTCCTAGAAGCCCCTATCTATGGTCCTGATGACATATCTACAAGGAGAAGTAAAACGACTCATGCCATCATCTTCAATTTTTCATCATTATTGCCAGTGACTCAATATTACATAATTAGCCAAGGTCATACAAGACAATTCAATGGAGCAATTTAGGATTAAATCTAAGAATTAGACATTAGGAACTCTCTGGGATTCCCCGAAGTGTTTTTAAGTGTTGTAATGCAGGGAATGCTTAATTAGACTTCCAGCCTAGTTCCTGCTGTTACCCAGCACCGGGCCTTGTAGGATTACCTAGAAAAAAATATTCAGTTCTCAGAAGCTCTCAGAAGTCAAGCTCAGGCTGAGGAAATATGTGTGCTGAGTAATGCAGCCGAACCCCCTTCCTTGTAAAGCCGGAAGAGCCGTCTGTGTTTCTCCAGCTAGCCCCACCAGATTTCTCCCAGGCATGATTAGGTGTTAGGAAGCGAACCATTCCGCCTCTGGGGATTTGCGCATTTTCTGTGAAATTTCTCTACACCATCTGATGTGATAGCCTCCCTATACAGTTCTCCTGTTCTGGGTCACGTTGAGGGATTATGCCACATGGTCTTAACCTACTTTTGTCCCCTCCTGCCTTAGTAAACAACAACAGTGATGACACCCACGGACTGCACCTGCCCTCGAGGTAACACCCGTCCATCTTGCACGTTGCACAGGGCACCTTTTAATCCCAGGATCCCCAAACCCGCAGCAAACATTAATTATACTTCATAAATACCTCCCTGATACTAGGCTGCGAGCTCCACTAGCCCCATTTTATGACTAGCCTTCCCCAAATGAAGAGATGGAACCTCTTCTTCAGCCCACTCAGAACGAGGACCAATCTGGGTCATGAGCACAGCTCCACTCACCTACTTAAAACTGTCCCCAGGGCTGTGGGAGAACTAATTTCCTCTCCATGTTCCCCCAATACTCAGAAAAGTGTGTGTGTGTGTGTGTGTGTGTGTGTGTGTGTAATGTGTGGGTGTTCCGCTCTGAAATGCCTACCTTTCTTTCGCTGCTGATTTTGCCTTCCCGTGCCTTCTGTTCTAGCCAGATGTGGGGATTTTTCGTGTGCTTGAATTCTCCTTTGGCAACTGGTTTAAAATAAAATGAAACTCTCTTAAATTTCTACTCATATGTAAGTAGATTGTTATCAAAACCAATTCAGGCCCTTCTGACCCATTTTCTTTCTTTTGGGTGGGGGTTGAGGGACAGGACAACATTGTGATTGGATTTGGAGTTTTGGTTCTCCTGGATGAGAGCGTGCACTTTGGAATGACCTTAGTTAGCCCGGGCTGCCCTCTTGAGGTCGTAGATGCAGCAGGCTCAGTCTAAAGCCTAGATCAGGCCTGTGTGTGAGAAGGAGCGGAGAGAAAAACGTACAAAAGGACCAAGGACCCAGTGGTCATTGTCATGATAAACCGAGATGCTTCTTAGGCGCTTTGATGGGGTAGTAGTTGAAAAGAGCCCTAACAGGGAACCAAAGGGTTCTCATCTGGCCCTTGGCAGACTGTGTGATCTCTGGGTGGTCATTTTCTCTCTCTGTGCTTTAATTCCCCATCAACAGAAGAGGAGCTGCTGGTCTCGTCCAGGGGTCAGCCAATTTCTTCTGTAAAAGGCCGGACCATACCATGTTGGACTGGATGGGCCATATCGTCTCTGTGGCGGCCACTCACTTGCCATTTTACTTTATTTTATTTTATAGTTCTCCTTTTTTTTTTTTAAGATTTTATTTATTTATTTGACAGAGACCACAAGTAGGCAGAGAGGCAGGCAGAGAGAGAGGAAGAAGCAGGCTCCCTGCTGAGCAAAGAGCCCGATGTGGGACTCGATTCCAGGACTCTGAGATCATGATCTGAGCCGAAGGCAGAGGCTTTAACCCACTGAGCCACCCAGGCGCCCCTCACCTGCCATTTTAGCTCAAAAGCAGCCACAGACAAAATGGAA